CTGGGGGCCCCAGAGGAGCCTCCCGCATGATCCTTGCTCTGGCTTGCGCGCTCTGCGCAAGTCCCGCGGCTTGCGCAGCAGCCGCGGCCTCTCCAGGCACGACGCGCAATGGGCTGTGATCAGGCCTGCAAATTTGCACGCGTTCCGTTGGATCGTGTAACCACGGCGCCAGCAGAGCGATAGGCCTCGAGAGGGCCGCCGCCCCAGCCAGTGCCGAAGAGCGCGTCCATTCGGTGCGCAGTGCGCATCGGTGTGCAGAGCGCTGCTCCACAGCGACACGTGCATGCCCAATTTGATATCGCATCCTCGAGCCCGAGCATGTCGACGAGGGGCGCCATATTTTCAGGTTTCGCTCGCAGCAGTGTCGAAAAGAACGCGAAATCGTTGTTCCCTGGTCCTCTCCTGGGGCGCGCCTGTGGCAGCCGCTGCGGCCTTGTTCTGGCGCTGGAATTGAACGCAAATTCCCTGGGGGGCCCAGGGCGCGATGTAGCCCCAATTTTGGCGACGACGCTGAGGATTATCTGCGCAGCTGTGTTGCCGGAGCAACTCTTTAATGAAACGCCTCGGGGTGCCTTGCGACAGTGGCTCGCAAGCCGGATGGGTCAATGCTTTCCTGTGAGGAGCGCAGTCCGAGGGCGAGGTAGAGGTCGAGACACCACTTCCCCCCCGTGCTCTTATCTGCGGTGCAGTTGAAGAAGCCAGCGAAAGGTGCGCCTGAGAGGAACTTCGCGCGCGCCGCGTTCGCGCCCAGGGGCGCTCCGAGGCACGTCGCGGAGCGCGCGATGGCTCTGCGCCCCCCTGGGCACGGGCGCGACGCGACCAAGGCCAATGGAGAGGGCCCACGGGAAGAGCGCGCAGCTGGAGGCGTCGTGCTGGCAACCGCAGCCCCCTCTTTGAGGGCTGCGTTCCCGTCGTCGTGGATCTCCGCCTCCCCGGGGTAGAACGCCGAGATCAGTTGCTTGGCTTCGGACGTGCCCCGTCGCTCTCTGGAGCGTCTCGCGAGCTGGGAATCCGTCGGAGCTGAGCGCGCAAATCCGTGATGCGCATCGGCAGCAAGGCCGAGGCAATCTCGATCTCGTCCTTGACCTGCGAGTGCGGCTTCGAGATGCCTACCGCGATCTTGTCCGTAATTGCGAGTCCGGCTCCAAGATGCCTCTGGCTGTCTGCCGGCTGCGGCCGCAAACCCAAAGCACTCTTGCGGGACTGAGACAATAGGCCCCCGAACACCGGCTGCGAAGCAGAATCTGCCGATCCAAGAATGCCGGCCGGCCGCCGGCGTCGCAGGCAACGTCCGCGGGGCCAGCGCTTGGATGCCGGGGCGTGGCTCTTCCCGCCCGATCGCCAGCGTGCCCCGGATGCCGTCGAGCTTGCCGCCGAGAATCTGGCTCGCCAACCTTTTGGCGAGGCCCGTGGCGGCGCTGAGCAGTTTGTGGAGGCCAGAGCAGGTCTGCGCGAAGTGGTCGTGCGCCTCGGATGCTTCAAGCTGCAGGTTCTCGGGCGTCCCGCTGAGCAGGCGCAGCCGCCGCGCGAGGTCGAAACCGCCCGTGCGCGCCGTGCTGATGTCGCCGTCGGGGGCCCCCTGCCCCTTGCGCAGCTCCGCGCGCGCTGGGGCGCCGCGCCGCCCGAAGACGAACCGCGGGGGCAGGCGCTGCATCAAGGCGACGGCTTCCAGCCGCCCCATGGGGTCGGCTTGAATTGCCGCGTGCGTTCCGGCGTCGGGGTCGCCCCCGAAAGCCGATATCGAGGCGACCCTTTTTGAATGCGAATTAAGAGGGCCATGCTGGCGGCATCCTAGACAAATTGCAGCGGGGCGCCGTGCCCCCAGCGTAGACGGCCATGGCCCCGTTGTCTTGGGAAGGAAGCCTAGCTGACCCAGCTATGGGGGATCGCCCGCATCTCCCCGCAGCCTCCGAAAGAAGGTGATCACGGGGCAAGAAAGCAGATGGAGCGGAGGTAAGTCACGTTCTTGCCGTTGACGCGCTGTGGCTTGTCGACAAAGTGGCCCAATGTTTTCCGGCCTGCGCCTCGGCGGCCGCAGGTCCGACGCAAGGCGCGCGCCGCGCGCCGCCCGCGGCGGGCCCGCTGGCCTCCGCGGCGCCCCTGGGCTCCCCCGGAGAGATTCGGGCGAGGCAGGGCGCGGGGCGCCCCCGTCTCAGGTCGGGTCTCTCACCGCCGTTCGTAAGACACCTTGTGGGAATGTAGCAAGGTCGTGGCCGACGCCGACCCGCCCGCTTCCCCGCGACCCAGGGCGACGGCGCCTGCCGCTGAAAAAGCCGCCCCCCCGGCCCGAGAGAGGCGGCAAAGCGATGGCCAAACCCGGCCGCTCAGAGATTTACGACGCACCAATGTACGTGGCGATTTGCCGTGCAACAGGAGGTGGGGGCAGAGGGGGCCGAGACCATGGGGGGGGCCCAGTGAGTGGCGGTTGCGGGGCTCGCGAAAAGGGCGCGCCCGACGTTCGCGCCGAGCGCTCCGCAGCCGCCGCAACGGGGCAGGGTTGGGGCGCAAAGCGGGGCTCTCAAGACCTGGGGCGGCCGGCAGCTCGGCGCGCGAACGACGGCCCACGAGCGAAAATGGGGCCACGAGGCAGGCCCAAGGACAAGGTCCAGCATGTCCCGCTGCAGCCCAGGCAGCCCTGTCAGCCGCCGAGAATAGCCAGCGAAAAACAGGCTAGGCAAGGCAACGGCAGTCGCGCGTTGAAGCGCGCTGAGATCAAGCTTGGAAATGACTGGGGGCACCGCGCAAAATTTTTAATTGCGAAGGGGCAGGCAGCTGGTCGCGGGGTCGGCGTCGGCAGCGGAACGCGCCTGCGCGCCCGCGACAGGCCAATCGACCGCGTCCGGGATGGAGCTGTCCAGCGACTCATTGCAAGCTCGAACGGCGCTTGCCCAGGTCGAGCACGGCGTGGCCGTTGCCAGCCTAGGCTTGCTGGCGCCCGGGTGCGCTTCCGGCAGCAAGAAGGGGCTCGCCCGAGCCTCGATGGTGCGCCCCGCCATCATGGCGCTCAGTCGCAAATGCCGCCCGCACTGTGCAATGGCCACCTCGCCTGGCAGCGCTGGACTTCTGGTGCAGCCCGGATGGCGACGGGCGCAGGGCGCGCGCATAGAGTCGAGGGAGAAGTGGGCACGTGGAGCGAGTCCGAGGAAAGGGGGCGGGTAGAGCAAAGGGGAGTCCACGCAGAAAGGCGCCTTTGGCGCACAAGACCAGGAGTGGGGATTCAAACAAGTCATTGCTTCTAGCTGGCGTGGCTTGTAGGAGTGGGCCAAAAAGGGAAACGGGCATCAGCAAGGGCCCGCAAGATAATCGTCGTGTCTACTGCTGGGCGTCCGACATCGCCTGCGGGCGGGCTGTCGATGATTGCCGTGGCAGCCGTCTTCCCAGATGCGTTGTGAAATAGGGATTGGGTGCGTCTCGCATGCCGCGAGCAAGCTGACCAATGGCGCCGTCAGAGCCCGGGGAGGACGCTGCAACCGCGAGGTCGTCGACGAATTTCACGGGGCGAACGAGGTCCGAGCCGTCAAGCAAGTAGGTCCTATCGGCCTCTGAGGTAACCTGTGAGGCCCCTGAGCGACTTGCCTTCTCGGTCCTCTGGAAGGGTGTCCGCTTGGGCGCGGCCCTAGGGCCCCCCGACGCATCCCCGAAAATGTTCTTTTCCGCGATCGGCTCGAAGAGGCCCCTCTCGAAACCAGCGCGCACTACGGGTGCCACTCGCGCGGCGAGGCGTGGGCCCGGGGCGCGGGCGCGCGTCGCGGCCGCTGGCTCCGCGGCAACTGGCGTCGCGCCAGGTCCCACAAGTCGTCTCGAAACTCTTCGGATGTCGGATGCGACCTCTTCCGCGTTGGAAAATCACGCGCTGCCTACAGGCGGCCTGAAGATAGGTGCGCGGGGGCATGCGAGTTCCTTGCTCTTGCTCGCAATGTCCCCGTAGTAGCCGCTCATCTTGTTGTGGAGGAGATCGGCCCTGCAAGCGTCCAGCTGGAACGGCACCGCGTCTAACTCTCTAAAATGCTGGACCGCGCTCCAGATGTGGCCCAAGCGGTATTCCGGAGCGGGGTCGAGCCCGCGAGGCGCCGAGGGCCGGGTAGGAATGCTGGCCCAACCAGCGAAAGCAAGGAAGTTGAGGTCGTCCAGCGCGAGGCCAGACCGGAGAAACCCGGGCGAATCTTGCGTTGCCGACGCAAAAACTTGGCCGAGGTGGCCGCAGCGCGAGTGGATGATCCAACGACGCCCGTAGGTGCGCCCCAAAGCTCCTGCGGACGGAAACCCAGGAGATCCATTTGAGCGGTGCTCGCCGCGCCTGCTGGCGGTGTTCGCCCTCGTCCTGTCGCAACCTTCGGGGGCTGCTGGGCGGGGCGCCACACCTGGGCCCCACGCGGACCCAAAGGGACTAGGCCATCATTGGGGGGCTGCAAAAAGTGAAACCGTCGCCACTTTTGAGGGCTGCTGGGGGGGGGGGGCAGCATAGTAGGGTCCCACGCAGATCCCAAAGAGATCTCGTCATCATGTCGCTGCTTCTGCGGAGGTGATTGTTCATCCATCCCGACGTTTTTCTTTTGCCTTTCTTTTCCTGCATTTTTCTGCGAGTCGGCCACGCACGTTTCGCACGATATAGATACTCGCCGTGCACCGTTTCTTGCAGCGTTGCTGTCACATTATTGTCGGCACACTGTATATCATCCTTTGTTGCTGACGGGTTGGGCACATCGTAGGGTAATTGGTTTCGGCGGAGCCCATTCGGGGCCCATGACGGTAAAGAAGGGATCTGGGGTGAGTAAATGCAAATGGGTCCTGGCAGGGGTCCTGTGACTGATTTTGGACGGATCTGTTCCTCTTCCAGTCGGCTCTTTTCGATGGCCACCCCCGCTCGAAAAGCTTTTGATGGCCAACCCGCTTGTATCGCCACCGTGCATATGTACTGGCAACTTTGAGTGCATGTGGGGTCCCTGCGTAGCCCTCTGCTCAGTGTAGGCCAACAGGGAGGCTGCCGTGATCAGAGCTGCACTTGGTTCAAATGCGAAAGCCTTCACTAGTCGGCGGCGCCCTTGCGCCTGCCCGAATGCCCCATGCGCGGAGCACGCCGGCGCCCGCGCAGACCCCCGCAGCGGGGTCTGGCCGGCGCGGCGGCGGCGGCGGCCACGTCGGCGGCCGCCACGCTCTTGTCGCCGCGGGGCCTCGGCCTATCCGGGCCGGGCTGCGCGACCGTGGGGCGGGGCCCGCCGGCGCCCCGCGACGAGGTCGGCGTCTGGCGGCGGAGGCAGCGGTGGCACGGCGTCAACTACGGCAACAGGTTCGTCCCGGAGGTCGCCATGGCGAAAAGGGGTCTGGGAGGGAAGGGCTCCCCCCAGAGGTCTCTGTGCCGCTTACGGCTTCCCGACGCCCTTCCCGGCCCGCCGGGCCGTGCCAGCAACGACCGGGGGCGAAACACCGGCTTCAGGGAGGGGCCCGGGGTCCAGGGCTCCTTTCCACCAGGACCCTTTCTCTCTCATGCCAACGGAGGACTGGATGGTCCACCCGTGCCCAGAGGGTCCCAAGTCTCCAGCAGAGGATCAGATGTCGCCGCCCAAACGGCGCCAGAGTAGATGAGAAGATGGGTTCAGAGGGGTGCGCTGCATCCCCGATGCGTCGGCGATGCAGCGCGATCCGATGCCGATGTTCCCCGTCCCGACGTCGCGGGTTCGGCGATGCGATGCGGTACACCAGCCCGACGCCATCCACCCCAGCCCCATATCGGCCGCCTCGACAGGGGCAGTGCCCACGTGCTCGAAGCCCTGTACGAAATCTAACATACGCAAGGAAGACACCTTTGGAGTGTACCGAAACAGCGTGCCTGGTGGAGTGGAGGGCGGAGCCCCGATTCGGGAGCCCCTGGGAGGGAGGAGGCGCACCCGAGCACGCAGGGTCGGAGGCGGACGCTTCCCGTCTGGAAGGGGCCTTCGGACCCTCCGGGATACAACTTCTACGAGGGGGTTGAGCCGCACGACGGCGTGGCGCGCGTGGCGCTGTGGGACCTCGCCGAGGGCCAGGAGCCGCCCCCCAGGCAGCGCATGCTGAGGTGGCTGGACGCCACCATCCAAGAGTCCCACTTCGAGGAGATGCGGTCCTTCGGCGTGGGAGTGCTCCGGGTGCCCTGCGGGTACTGGAACTGGGTCGAGTACGAGGAGGGCGGTGGGCCGGAGGCGAACGCGAGCGTCGAGGGAGTGCCCGTGGCCGAGAGGCTGAGGCGCCTCCACCGCATTGCCCACCCTTCGGAGTATCGTGAGTTCTTCGATCGAATTTTCCTGTTTGCAAGCCGGCATAGCATCAAGGTCCTTCTCGATTTGCACGGGCTGCCTGGATCCCAGAATGGGGAGATCCATAGCGGTGTTTGCTTGGAGTTGAAGAAGGAACCAGACGAGCATGGGAAGACATTCTTTCAGACGGAGGCTAATAAGGCGACGGCGCTGCGGGCTGTTAGAGAAATGGCCAGATACACCCAGGGTAAGGAAGATGCCCTCTTTGGCATTCAAGTTATCAATGAGCCACACCTCGGAGGTGATGCCACTTCTGCAGATGGGCATGAATTCCTCCGCGACTATTACAAGAAAGCGATCATCGCAGCCAGGGAGTTTTTAGCACCATATGTGCCCGTCGTTCTTTTTGAGTGGACTTACAATTTTGACAAATGGGAGCCCCACGCTTTTCCAGACCACAGGTTCGGAAGTGTGCTCTGGGACACACACATCTACCATTTCCCGGAGGAGAACGAGGAGTGGTTGGAAGCAGACGGGGGCATGGAGAAAGCGAAGAAGGCGTACCAGTGGGACCTCAGTCAGCTTCGGCACTTCTCGCACCTTCAAGGTGGCCGAGTCTTCGTGGGCGAGTTCTCGCTGGCAGGCCCCTCGTTCTTCAAAGACAGGCTTGGCGCTTACAGCGAACTGGCGGCCTGGCTGATCGACCAGTTCCACTTCGCATCCGCAGGCTCGCTGCTGTGGACCTACGACGGTGCTGCCACTGGGTGGAGCATGCAGCGGCAGGTCAGGAAGCGCTGGGTCGACTGGGGAAGCCTGATCGGACGGGCCCTGCGCGACTCGCAGCCGTCCGCCGCCGTCCGGCTGCAGGCCGAGCAGGGCGGCGGCTGGCTCAGCGCGCAGGAGCAGGGCGGCAGCGTGCACCTCGCGGAGGACCCGGACTGGTGGGAGGACTGGGTCCCCTACCACTACCGCGCGCACGGCGAGCCCCGACTGGCGCTGCGGTCCGCGGCGCACGGGACCTGGCTCAGCGCGGACGAGCGGGGCGGGGTCTCGCAGGCGCCGTCGAGGTCTGCCTGGGAGGAGTTCCGTGTCGTCGCCCACGGGGGTGTGGGCGACGGGCCGCGCCGGGTGTCGCTGAGGACGTTCCACGGCGGCTGGCTCTCCATCGAGCCGGAGACCTGGCTGGTCGCTGCACCACCAGAGACAGCTGGGAAAGAGGCCAAGGATGTGCCTGGTGGTATCTGGATTGTTGCTTGAAGGGCAACCGTTCCTCCAACAAGTCCGGGCAGAATCCCAGCCGCGATTGAACAGGCATGGCCAGCGACAAGGTATGCCGAGGGAGGGGATTGGGAAGAGGCGGGGTCGGGCTTATATTGGGCTGTCCTTGAACATATCTCCAGGATGAAACAGCAGAGTCAAATAAGTGCTCAGCTCTTGAACTGGGCTCCGTCCAGATTCATCATTCAGCTATCTATCAGTAGCAGCACAGAGGGGCAAGAACACGCTTCGTCTTTACCCATGTAGTTAGGAAGGGGTGGGCCCCCTGACGGGGTGCTGTCGGGGCGGCGGCGCATAGAAAAGGGTCTCAAGCCGCCCTTTTGTATCCAGTTGTCTTGTTTATTTTCAGACTCCTTGCTCGTTTCCTTTCCCGGTTCCCACCCCTCCTGTATGGGGTCTCGTTTTGAACAAAGCACTGCGTTCTCCACGCCCGTTCATGTTGCCACTTGCTGCAGATGGGTTGAGTACGTCGCCAGGCTTATCCAGTGAATACTTTGGCGCACCGGATCTGTTGCGTTCGAGCCTGCCCTCCAAAGCAGTCTTGGCTCAGTCTTCCGCTGGTGCCCTCGTCCCCCGGGCGCTCTGCCGGTGGCTTCCGCCGTGCCCGATGGTGGCGGCCGCTCGCGACCCCGTGCAGTGGGATGGCGCGACAGCGCGGGCAATGGCCAACCTGCCGACCAGCAGGGTCCTCACGAGCCACCCGCCAGCGAGTGCGCCGTCGGGCTGGGAGACGGGCGCCTGCCCAGCAGACCCTGGCGGAGCGCTCCCCAGCCCCCACCCAGGCAGGATGTCCAGCAGGGGCTGGGGAGCTTCCGCGGCGAAGTGCTCATCCCTCGCCTTGTGATTTTTAGAGCCTCCGTGGCCCTCAGGGGGAGGGGCCAAGTTAGGGAAACGATCGGAAGAACGTATAATGAACTGCATCGGGTGAAATAGGACATGCCACGACCAATGGGATATACACCGCACACATGTCATACATACAAGTATAGCGGAGCTGAGGACCAATCTTTACAGCCTCTGGGCACCGGCGTCGCCCTCCCTGTCCCAGGACGGGAGGGCCCCCGAGAGAGCTTGATACATACGACACCATCGCCCCCAAGGAGGGGCTCCACGACCTCCCAGGGACATGCATCGTGTGCAAGTCCTCCACGCGGCCTCGGAGGCCGTGCGCAGTGAATCATCATTTGGGGTTCACAATTCAAGGGGGGTGGCCTGATTTGGAAGGGAGGAATGACTTGGGCTGCCTTGGAGGGTCCTGGGAAGTCTGGGCAAAAGGCCGCCCTTTCATGGCTGGTTTGGGGGGGGGGTCTGAAATTGCTCGTCCTGGAGGGTTGTGACCCCCACCCGCATCGGTTATGAAATCCGGAGTGCCCGTTCCGAGGAGGCTTGTCGGTGCACCAGGGGGACAGGCTCCTCTGGGGCAGCGCTTCCCTGCGTACGCTTCTCGGCCCCATACAGCGCTCCCGCCGACAGCAGGCCGCCAGCCCACTGCGCTCTGGCCACGGTGTCGGTCGCCCTTCCCGCGGAGCGGCCTGCCGTGGACGCCATGCCGGCCACGACCCTGGCCATGCCGGAGATCGAGCCAGCGGCAAAATCCGAGGCCAATTCTCGCCGATCAACGATTGAGGCAATTCGTGTGTCGGCGGGGGTAGGGTTCGGAATTCGTCGGCGACATGGCGAAATCCGAACCATACCCCCGCCTCGCAGCCAGCGATTCAAGGGAATCGATGGTGTGTGGCGACATCCGATGGGTTCATGGCACCACCTATGGAGGTGTAAGGAGGGCCATCGCGCTTGCCTGCCTACCCAGAGGTTGGTTTCAGCACTTTCCGAAGACCGTTCGTCCCTTTCTTGATGCTCTTCGTGCATATAGGAGCCTTGTGCAGCTTGTGGAGCCCCAGAGGCTCTTCCCCACTTCCCAGCCCCCGTCAGGCCGAACCACCCTTCTCTTTCTCTTGCTGCTCTCCTGCCTCCTCCTCCTCCTCCGCCTCCTCCTCCTGTCGCATCCCGTCCTCCCCCTCCGCCGTCGAGCTGCTCCTGCACCCGCTCCTCCCCTTCCCTTGCTGGAGCCTGGAGCGGGCAGCGCGGGAGGACGCCAGGTCAGCGGGGGAGCCCCCAGGAGCTTCGGGGTTGGACAGACCTCCTACCCTGACACGTCGATTAAGGAATTGGCCGTTTTCGGTTCGCGAGGGGGCGTCGCGGCCGTCATTTTTGCGGGTCCAGGTCCGTCGGTTTCGGTCCCAGGCGCTTCTCACTAAGGGGAGGTTTACTAAAGGGGGGTTTGTCCACCGCCGAGAGCTGCCTTTAGGACGAAGCCTTGCGGGCGCGATGGGGAGCCCCCAAGGAGGAGGAGGATGATGATGATGAGGAGGAGGAGGAGGAGGAGCAGCAAGAGGAGGAGGAGGAGGAGGAGGAGGAGGAGGAGGAGGAGGAGGAGGAGGAGGAGGAGGAGGAGGAGGAGGAGGAGGGAGCTCCCAAGGAGGTGGTCGACGGGGAGCCCCCGCTCTGCGACGGCTGCTCCACCCGGACCCTCCCGGCGGCGCCGTGGGGCGCGGAGCCTGCGGACGGCTGCCCGGGGGGCACGAACCGCGCACCCGAGACGTCCCCGGTCGTTTCCCGTCCTGGTCCAAGGGCTTCGGGCCCAGGCCTCCTCCTCACCCAAGGGGTCCAGCAGTAGCAGCAGCAGTGATAGTAGTTCAGGTAGGTAAGTCGGACGGACTCCTCTGGGCACGCTCCACCTCCTCACCCAAGGGGTCCAGGGGCATGGAGTGCTCGGCATGGTGCAACGAGCAGACTGCATGCGAGACGCGTTCTGTTCCTCACAACATGTAGTGCCGCCCGTGTTCTGCTGCTCCCTGCTCTCAAAAGGGGGTCCAGGGGCATGGCGTGCTCGGTATGGTACAAAAGAAACACACCCAACAGAAGTCTGAAGAAAGAACATGGAATTGCGTTGATGCCAGATATCGTTGACGAAGATCAGGTCTGGGCCGGCTCTCGTGCGTTTCCTTTTAAAGCTTCTGGTTCACACTTCGCGGGACGAGGCCGTTCGGTCTGGCTCGGCTCCCGACGGCTGCAGAACATGCAAGACGTATTCCGTCGTCCGTATTGTTCCGAATGGACCAAGTCAGGAATCAGTCCGACATTTCTATGCGTTCTACGTTCTGGTCCGGCCTTCTTTCACTAGTACTACCAGTTCATAACAATTATGGTCTTGCGTCGGTGGACGTGTAAACGTTGTAAACATCCGATTGTGCGGCATGTGTTTGCTGAACAGTTCTAAGACGTCTAGCGGCCGAGGTCCCACATGATAAGTTTAGATAATTAGGAATGGGATATGTTTTCTTAGCAGTAGAGGGAAAACGTGCGATATTGGTCAGAATTTTGAATCCTTCAGTCCAGTAGTTGACTTGTTCTGACATGCCCGAAACGTTTTTGGGTAATTTGCGGCTGAATTTCCGCAGTGTCAAGTTCGAGGATTATTTATTACATTATGCTTATTCGTTGGATGTGTTCTCATATGCTTGCAATGACAAGGTCGGTAATGTCAATGAACGCCAACCGCTACAGGAATAATTAATTCAGTTTTTTTCGTCTGTGGGTTTTGCTTGGCATTTAGCAGTCGAGGATCTAGCTCATTAGTTCCCACACTTGCTAACTGTATGTTGTTCGCTCGGGGAATGTGTTGTAATCCGTTACTGTGCCTTTGAAGCCAGCAGTCCCGCTCCGACCGAGTCCTCCGGCGCCCGCCCCGACCCTCTCGGCACCCGGGGCTCAGGGCGAGCTCTCTCGAGCCCGCCCCTCGGACGCACTGCGCGCCGTGGGCCGCCTTCTGCGGCGCCCCCGGAGCCCCGAGCCCTGACATCCACCGCTCTGAGTTCTTCAATCCGCCACCCCAAGTGGGCCCCGACCGCTTCCCCGAGGAGGAGCGTTCCGTCCCCGCTCCGCGTCTGCAGGCCCCCGGGCCCGATGACGGCCCTCGAGGGCGGCAGTCGGGGACAGAGCAAGGGCTGACAAAAATCTGATCGTCGGGCAGCCAGGCCTGGGCAGATCTTGGTGAACACTCGATCCACATTCACCGGTCCATGCCCCCCCCCCAGTGCTCCAAGTTGGCGGCGGGTTTCACGAGTTGCACTCCAGCCGCAGCCGTCCCCGTGCGCGCCGACTTTGAATTTTGGGGAAGGGGGAGTGTCCCTTAACTGTGTCCCTCAACTTGTGGAGACGATCGATGCAGAGGAAGCTGGTGTTAAACATGTTTTATACATGCGAATCCATGTTTAAAGCATGTTTAGAACATTTTTTCCGACTTGTTAAAAACATGTTCATTCAGTGATAGGACTGTTGGGGCGTCCATTGTCGTGGCATCCACGAACCTTAAAACCGTGTCCGTCTACCGTCTGGGAACGCTTGCAGGACCCGGCCACCCCGTGGGCCCCGCGGCGGGCCTGGCCGGGGCCCGCGCGGGCGCGGGGCGTGGTGCCCTCCCCCCCCCCGGCAGGCTGCTCGACCCAGACCGTCGCCGCGTGGCAGCCGCCGGTCGCGGTGTGCGCCGACGCCGGCGCCGGCCCTGGCTGCCCCGCGGGCCAGGTCGTCGGCGGCGCGCATGGGTGGGCGACGCGTAGGAGTCACCCTGTGCCGGAGGGGCCGTCGGTGCTGGCCCATATCGGAGGTGGATAGACCTCCTGCCCTGACGCGTCGATCAGCGAATTGGTCGCTCTCGGTTCGCGAGAGGGCGTCGCGGCCGTCATTTTTGCGGGTCCAGGTCCGTCGGTTTCGGTCCCAGGCCGTTTTCATTCAAGGGAGGTTTTTAAAGGGAGGTTTGTCCACCGCCGACCATGGGTGGTCCCCCGGCGCTGGCCCGCGCGCTTGGGTCCGGCCGCCACGCGGCCCCCCAGAGCTGCGCACCAGATGTCACTCTTGCCTAGGTCCACCGTTGCTCATGCGCGAATGAGGGGCCCCCTCCCCCTGCTCCCCTGCTCTCTGGAGCCGCCAGTGTCTGCGTCCAGAGAGCTTGAAAAGTAGTTTTCTTCTTTGAGGCGCGCGCACGATAAGGTAGGGGGGGGTAGGGCGGAGGGGGGAGGGGACCCTGAGATTCAGGCGTTGCACTTTTTTTCGCACCGGCCGTTTCCCACCGGCGTCGGGCCCCGGGACCATCACACTTTGTCCACAGCCGAGAAAAATAAGCAAGAAAGCATAATCAAACACTTTCGGAGCTCCGCGTGGCGCTGGGCCCCCCGGCGGTGCCTCCAGCACCGCCCCTGTCCCGCTCCGCGCGCCAAGGAGGGGTGTCCAGCGCCGATCAGAGAAATCCGCGTGGACCTCCGAAAGTATATATATATATATATATATATATATTTATATAATGTTATATTTATATCTGCGCAGTTTTTTGTGTTGCTCTAGCAAAGGCGGGGTAGGGCGGCGGGCGGCTTCCAGGAAGGCTCCCCCGCTTCTTAGAAGCCCTCCTGCCCCCCAAGAGCAGTCTGCCAGGCGTCTGGGTGGGCCGACCGATCCCTTTTCAGGAGCCCGTCGCCTTGTTGATGTTGATGATAAGGGCGCCATCATCGCGCCGCCCCCCCTTGCGCACTGCCAACAAGGGGTGGGTCGCGGCACCCACGCTGGTCTTCGGCGGGGGCGGGGCCGCGGGCCCGTTGCCGGTCGCCACGACGGCAGAGCGCCCCGGCTTCGCGGTGCTGGCGGGCGTGCACGAGCAGGCCTGCCCGCGCTCTGCGCCCCTCGGCGGTGCGCAGGTAGTGGGCGGGGTCCGAGGCGAGCGTCCCTCTTGTGAGAGGCCCCCCGCCCCCCTGGCCTCTTAGACGCCGCGGGGCTCGACTGCGGCGGATCCCTTCCAAGAAGCACCCCTGCCGCGCCCCCTTGCCCCCTGAGAAGGCCGCCCCCAGCAGGAGCCCTTTCGGCTCTGTCGATTTCGAGTCGATTCGGTTTCGAGGGCTGACTCCGATTCGATTCGACTCTTGCATTCCGACTTTGGTTTGAATTTCTTCGTGTTTGCCTCGGCTTGGGCCGGTGGGTGTCGATTCCGATATTTTCCGATCTGGTTGTCGATTTTTCCGACTCGATGTCCTTCGATGGCCGATTCGATGTTCCGATTCGATTTTGGGTCCTCCTGCACCTTGCGCTGGCCTCCTCTTGCGCGCCGCCACCCCCCCGCAAAGGAATTAAGGCCCAGAGGCTCTAACACGCTCCAACTTTCACCCGACGGGGAGCAAGCGTTCAGAAAAAGAGATCTCCACCCAAAACTTCCGAGCGGAGGCGGAGGCCCGAATGCGGGAGGTTACGGAGCTTCCGGGGGGCACTGGAGGTGAGAAGGGACGGAGAGGTGATGGCATGGGAAGAGTACGAGGAGGAATGTAAGGAGCAGGAGAAGTAGGAGGATGAGGCGGCGGCGGATAGATAATAGGGGGCAAGAGGAAGGGATAAAAGGCAGATGGGGGCGGAGGGGAGGTGAGGATGAGCATGAGGGACAGAGAGAGAGAGAGAGAGAGAGAAAGACGAGGGAGAGAGAGAGAGAGAGAGTTAGAGAGAGAGAGAGAGAGAAATAGAGAGAGAACGAGAGAGAGAGAGAGAGAGAGAGAGCGAGAGAGAGAGAGAGAAAGCGGTATACATACATATAGAGAGAGATAACTAGAGACAGAGACGCAGAGGTACTTGTCGAAGCGCTTGCACAATGACAGTTGTCGATACAAACACTCTTCGGTTCTTCGGAGGTTGGGGAGGGATGGGTGCAGGGTTGAGTTTGATGCTTGGGATGTGGGTGGTTATGGACCTGACGTGTTGCCAGACATCAACTTGATCGGGCTTGGTTGTGATGTTTTGTCGAGACCTTCAACTGTAAATTCATACGTCAGAATGTTAATCAGCGTGGGCCACGAACAGTGTAATCTAGCATACTGAGTGGCGCAATCTGTGTGGTGCAATTGATTTTACAAATGAGTTGACACATTCCATGCCCTTGCAAACATCCCACTCACCCACCCGCAACTTGGTTTGCAACACCCATGCGGCGGCGATTGTGATGAGTGCTTGGCGTTCGTTGGCTGGTGCATCTCTGCGGCAGCACTAGCCCGCGCATGCTCGCGCGCACAGCGGCCAGGTAGTTTGGCGCCGCCGACGCGGCCGCGGTAGCGCTGGCCGCTGGACACTTCCCAGCTGGCACTCCAGTGCGAGTCGGTGACTTGGGCGGGCGCGGGATCATGGCGACGGAACAACGGTAGACACGATCATGAGAGTTGCAAGGTGACGATGGTGGCGATGAGGACGGCAAGGCCAATGACGGCCCGATGTTGATCACGCCCGCCGATAACGATGACTATGTCCTCGCGTTTGCGATGAAGGCTCTTGAAGGAGTTTGACATGCGCGTGCGGCCGACACGCGCGACTGGCCCGCCTGGTCCTCTTTGACACGGATCGTGCCACCCCAGCATGCGAGCAAGGGCGTTCGAAGGAGTTCGACATGCGGCGCGAAGGGCCCGCTTGGCAGATTTGGATGGACATGTTGGGGAACCTATGGTTGTCCCAAGGACTCGCAAAACCGCGAACGCAGGATTGTATTGACAAGTGGTGTTGAACAACCACGTGTTTTGATATGTTTTCGGGACATTCGTTTTGGGACCCCTCACGAATTCCAAGGTTTTTAAAGGATCTCGGCATGCGCGCGCGACGACGCGCGCGTGGGCGAACGTGCGTACGATTCCGACATGCGCGCGCGAGAGGCCCGTTGGGTAGAAGACGGAATATTTTTTATTAGCGAATGCGCGCTCATAGTATATGTTGCAGAGGATGGCGGGGTGATGCCGGTCGGCTGGGATGGTATGACCTTAGGATGGACGATGGGACAACATTGTATGCAAATTGTAATGCGAACAGAGGGGGCGGAAAAGGGGGGGTGGTAGAGTTTATTCTTGCTTGGAACAAGAGAATCGGCGCGGCGCGTGCAGCTTCTGTTGTGCGAAACCGGTACTGACATTATTGTGCACATCGTGTGATTCAGCATCGGTAAAAAACGGAATGTCATGTAATGCGTGTGCTTGATTCTACGTGATGTGAATTACGTGTTGTAGCATGTGGCGGTGGGCGGCGATGGCGACAACCGTCTGGTTGGACCGACACCCAGGCGCCGCTCCTTTCAGACGAAGCAAAAACGCCTAATTGCAACATGGCTTTGGGAAAACAGTTCCACAATCCCCTGGTCTTCCAGGCCATGTCCATGATTTTGTACTCAAGAGCATGTGGTGCCGTCCTGCCACCGCCGAGGTCACCGCAACAAGCGGCTCCAGCACGTGGGGGCGGCCTGAGGATCGGGCAGGAGAACCCGCGAGGATGGTCCACACCGTGGGGCCCTGGGGGGAGGCGTGCGCCCTTGGCGCCCCCAGGTTCCCGCTTTGAGCTCACTCGGCGCCGCGGCCGCGGCCTCCGCCGCCCTTGCCCACGGCCCCTCTCGCCCCATCGGCTGCCTCTTGAGGCGGGTCAGCATCTCCTTCTCCTGGGTCTCGAACTGGCGTCGCAGGGCGACCTTGATAGGGTCGGTTTTGTCCAGCTGTCAGCTTCACCGCAGCCACCAGCATCACGTCTTCGATCTTTTGCGAGGCAGGATCAGGGAAATTCAGCGGCAAGCGCCAAGCTCTGTCCGGCAAGCTGGAGGCGAAGTTGAACGACAGCGCGCCCACCATGACGTCCACGCACTCATCGTTCATGTCATGGCGGCCTGGTGCTCCTCGTCCGCCGAATTTCCGTGCTGCTCCGTGGCGATGCCCTCGATGATTCTCCACGTCGCGGACCAGAGGTACGCTTTCTCATGAGGATACTGGAATAATGGAGTCTGCTCTATGTTCGCGGCGGTTGCGTCGCGCAACTCGTTGAATTCACCAAATTCCACGTGCCACGTATCACCGAGACTCTTCACGATTACTATCAAACCTTACCACCACGGAGCAGGACCGCAAACTGCGAATTGATCACATGTCATTTGTACTGTTTTGGAAGGCGCATCGTCACGGACTAAACATGTCTCCACACCCAGGCATGGCGGCGGCTGGCAGCGCCTGCCTGGCCCTCTCTAGTTTTTTTTGCGACAGCTCCTGCCCGTCCTTCTCCAGCTTAGTGCGCGACTGCTTGAGCAGGTCTGCCGCTGACTTGGACATCTGTTGGCGGAATATAGAAGGGCGGGCAGCTTGCAGTTCTTCAGGGTGAAGCTGAGCGTGTTCTGTGTGAGCCTGAAACAAGCGAGACGGAGACGTTTAGCACAATCATGGCCATGGTTGCTTGCTGCCTGCTGACTATTCAAACTGATTTCACCATGCACGCAATGATACGTTGCTCCAACATCATGCTGTAACTGACTTTGCTGCACTGTGTACCTTCACACAAGATCGCCGCATTTGCACCAGCATGCGCACAGTAACGTATTGCTATTATGCATATGCTTGTCTATTGCAATCCGTGTCTGCGGCGGCACTGGTATATCATTGGCATAGGTTGATATGTTCAGGCTCTGACACCGGATGGCATAGGTAGCAGTATCTTCATCCGACCAGGCAGTGCGGCCTCTTGGGCAATTCACGCACCGAGTGTATCCCAAAGCCTGCTAGTGCCCTCCGAAGTATTTGCCATACACTGTCCACTTTTGGAACGCCCATCATAACAGCTGCGTGCATCGACTTCTGGACGAGAGGAGTGCACAGAAAATCTGGACTTCAGTTTTTGGTGCTGTCCCAGCCATTCAGCCCGAGGAGGTGCTGCTTGCTGCTTGGGCACCCGCTTTGAAACTGCAGCCACTATTTGGGACGGGTCGGTAATGAATGTGCCAATCATTCCAATACTGGTGACCATTCTAGACGACTGGCGGCAACTGATTGTCCCATTGCTTGTCCTCCTCCTTCCGGTTCTTTTCTAGACTTTTGACTGTCCGAGGCCTCTTCAGCTTCAACTATTCATGATGTGAAGACCCTTCTGCTGGAATCCGCCACGCTCCACCTCTTCCCTGGTCCTCCTCCTGGGTGTACCTGGGACGGGCCTGGTGCTGCCGTCAGCAGTGGGGCCTCGCTCGCCTCCGACTCGTCCTCGTCACCCTCGTCCTCGTCGTCCTCGCCGTCCAGGCGCTGGTGCCGACGGAGGTGGGCGCGCCCGTGGTCCACGGCGCGCTGCGCCAGCTGCCGCCGGGCGCCGCCGTCGTCGGGGCGACGATGCTCTGTTGCGCGCCCGCGCTCGGCCGGCAGCTCTCGCGGCAGGCCTCGTCCGCGTCCACCGCGTCCGCCGCTGGCGCCGTCCGCCAGGCCTCGGGTGGGGGGGGGGGCGCGCCAGCCATACTCAGAGGAGGGCCAGTCGAGACTGCGGTCGTCGGCCTTCAGGGGGAGGGGCCCTCGCCGCCACGGCTTGACGCGGCTCGGAGCACGTGTGCGTGTGGGCCTCGGCGGGGGGTCCAGAGGTCGATTCTGAGGTGTCGTTGTCTCAAGTCGCCTTCCTCCGTCATGCGCCTGGACCCCTTCTGGGCCGTCCTCGTCGGGCCAAGGCCAAGGGGGGGGGGATCCCGGGTCCAGAAATGGGTCTGGCCAGGGCCGGCGAGGCTGAAGAGTTTGCGTCCCTCGCGCCAGGCGTCGGCTCGCGTGCTGACCACGACGATCTGCGTTCCAGGCATCGGGGGAGAGGAGACGAGGGGCACCACAGGGGGGAGGAGGAGGAGGAGGAGGAGGAGGAGGAGGAGGAGGAGGAGGAGGAGGAGGAGGAGGAGGAGGAGGAGGATGAGGAGGAGGAGGAGGCGGATGAGGAGGAGGAGGAGGAGGAGGAGGAGGAGGAGGAGGAGGAGGAGGAGGAGGAGCACGGCAGAGCCCTGTTCAAAGCAGGTACAGGCAGGCGACAGCATTCGCCAGGAGAGAGCATTATGACCGAGCGCAGTACTGCTATTATTCTGAGCGCTTCGCGCATGTATGCCTGGCAATTTTGTATTTTCCTGTAACCGTCTTGGGATTGAACTTTTTGTTTTTTCCCCAACTATCCCTTGGTTGGGTTCTCGTTTTGAATAGGGCAGTGGGGTCGCCGTCTCCCTTCTCCTTCTACTTCTTCTTCACCTTCTCCTTCTCCTTCTCCTTCTCCTTCGCCTTCTTCTCCTCTCCCCCCTCGCTCTCCTCTCGGCTCTCTCCTCTCGCATTCCCATCGCGGGCCGCGACATGTGAAGCTGTCGCCACTGTCGAGGGCTGCTGGGGGGGGCAGCACAGTGGGGTCCCCGCCAGACCCATACAGTACCTCGCCATCCCTGGGGGGCTGCGAAGTGTGAAGCTGTCGCCACTTCCGAGGGCTGCTGGGAAGGGCAGCACAGTGGGGTCCGACGCAGACCTCAACGGGACCTCGCCATGCCTGGGGGGGCGCGAAATGTGAAGCTGTCGCCACTTTCGAGGGCTGCTGGGGCGGGGGCCAGCACAGTGGGGTCCCTGCCAGACCCAAACGTTACCTCGCCATCCCTGGGGGGCTGCGAAGTGTAAAGCTGTCGCCACTTTCGAGGGCTGCTGGGCAGGGCAGCACAGTGGGGTCTCACGCAGACCCAAGCGGGACCTCGCCATCCCCGTGGGGCTGCGAAGTGTGATTTAGTCGCTGCTTTCGAGGCCTGTTGGGGGGGCCAGCGCAGTGGGGCCCCACGCAGACCCAAACACGACCTCGCCATCTCTGGGTGGCTGCGAAGTGTGAGACTGTCGCCACTTTCGAGGGCCGCTGGGGCGGGGGCCATCACAGTGGGGCCCCACGCAGACCCAAAAGGGACCTCGCCTTCCTGGGGGGGGCTGCGAAGTGTGAAAGTGTCGCCACTTTCGAGGGCTGCTGGAGGGGGAGGGGCAGCGCATTGGGGTCACATGCAGACCCAAACGGGACCTCGAAATCCCAGGGGGGGGGGGGGCTGCGAAGTGTGAAGTTGTCGCCACTTTCGAGGGCTGCTGGGGGAACCAGCACAGTGGGGTCCCACGCAGACCCAAAGGGGACCTCGCCATCCCTCGGGGCCCCGAAGTGTGAAGCTGTGACCCCTTTTGAGAGCTGCTGGGGGGTCAGTACAGTAGAGTCCCACGCACCCCAGACGGTACCTCGCCATCCCTGAGTGGCCGCAAAGCATGAAGCTGTCGCCCTAGCCATCCTTGGGGGGCTAAGGAGTGTGAAACTGTCGCCGTTTTCGAGGGCTGCTGGGCGGGGCAGCACAGTGGGGTGCCACGCAGGCCTCAACGGGACCTCGCCATGCCTGGGGGGCTGCGAAGTGTGAGTTTGTCGCCACAATCGAGGGCTGCTGAGGGTGCCAGCGCAATGGGGCCCCACGCAGACCCTAGCGTGACCTCGCCATCGCTGGGGGGCCCCGAAGTGTGAACTTGTCGCCACTCTCGAGGGCTGCTGGGGGGCAGCACAGTGGGGTCCCCGCCAGACCCAAATGGTACCTCGCCATCCCCGTGGGGCTGCGAAGTGTGAAAGTGTCGCCACTTTCGAGGGCTGCTGGGAGCGTGGGCTGGCAGCACAGTGGGGCCCCCGCCAGACCCCACAGGGACCTCGCCATCGCTTGGGGGCCGCGAAGTGTGTAGCTGTTCCTGCTTTCGAGGGCTGCTGGGCGGGGCAGCACAGTGGGGCCCCACGCAGACCCAAACGTGACCTCGCCATCCCTGGGTGAAGTGTGAGACTGTCCCCTTTTTCGAGGGCTGCTTTGGGGGAGGGGGGGCAGCACAGTGGGGCCCCACGCAGATCCCAAGAAGACATCGCCATCATCTCGCTGCTTCTGCCGAGCTGATTGGCCTTTCTGCCCTCCGCTCTCCTCTCGGCTCTTTCGGAACATCCCTCTGGGGGTGTGCGAAGCGTAACATTGTCGCCACAAGAGAGCGCTGCTGGGAGGTGGCAGCACAGTTTGGGCCCCCGCGCAGATGGGAACGCGACCTCGCTATCCCTTGGGGGGGCGCTCTGCGAAGTGTGAAGCCGTCGCCACTTTCGAGGGTTGCTGGGGGGGGCAGCACAGTTGGGTCCCACGCGGATCCAAACATACCTCGCCATCCCTGGGGGTGGGGGGGGGCTCTGCGAAGTGTGAAGCTGTCGCCACTCTCGAGGGCTGCTGGGGCAGTTGGGTCCCACGCGGATCCAAACATACCTCGCCATCCCTGGGGGTGGGGGGGGGGGCTCTGCGAAGTGTGAAGCTGTCGCCACTCTCGAGGGCCGCGGGTGGGGCAACACAATGGGATCACACGAAGATCCAAACGGGACCTCGCCATCTTTTGGGGGGGGCTCGCGAAGTGTAAAGCTGTCGCCGCTTTCGAGGGCTGTTGGGGGCGCCAGCAGTGGGGTCCCACGCAGACCCAAAGGGGACCTTGCCATCCATGGGGGGCTGCGTAGTGTGAAGCTGTCGCCACTTTCGAGGGCTGCTGGGGGGGCCAGCGCACTCGGATCGGGGGGAGGCTGCGAAGCGCGAACTTGTCGCCGCTGTCGAGGGCTGCTGGGGGAACCCGCACAGTGGGGTCGCACGCAGACCCCAAGCGGGACCTCACCATCCTGGGGGGGGCGGCTGCGAAGTGTGAAGCTGTAGCCACTTTCGAGGGCTGCTTGGGGGGGGCAGCACAGTGGGGTCCCACGCAAACCCGCACGGGACCTCGCCATCCCTGGGGGGGGGGCTCGCGAAGCGTGCAGCTGTCGCCACTTTCGAGAGCCGCTGGGCGGGGCCAGCACAGAGGGGTCCCACGCAAACTTAAACTGGACCTCGCCATCCGCGCTGGGCTGCGAAATGTATCCTTGTTTTCACTTTCGAGAGAGCGCGTTTCACGGGCGCTTGCTTTGGGAACATTTGGCGGCGCGTTTCGAACCGGGGGGTGGGCCCCCCCCACAGCACTCGGCGCTGGCGCCAGCGCCGGCGCTGGCGGCCGCCAGCAGCGCCGACGGCGGGGACGCAGCGACGATGACCAGAGGCAGCCCAACGGGGACGGGGGGGGGTTCAAACCCCCCCCCCTGGCGCCGGCGCCGGCGCTGGCGGCGGCCAGCAGCGCTGGCGTGGCGCCGGCGACGGCGGGGACGCAGCGACGATTACCACCACTACCACCACCACCACCACCACCACCACCACCACCACCACCGCCACAACCCACCACCACCACACCAACCCACCACACAACCACCACCACTACCACCACAGCCACCACCACCACAACCACCACGACTACAACTCACCATTACCACCACCACCATAAAACCCACCACCACCACAGCTTACCACACCATCACCACCACCACCGCCACAACTACTACCACCTACCAGCAGCACAACCCACCACCAACACAAACCACCACACCACCACCACCACCGCAACCACCACCACGAGCACCACCCCCACAAACCAGCGCCACCACCACCACCACAAACCACCACCACACCACCACCAAACCACCATCACCACCACCACAACCCAGCAGCAGAAGCAGCACCACCACCACCACCATTACCACCACAAACCACCACCACACCATCACCAAACCACCACCGCCACCATCACCACACCACCTTCACCACCACCAACCACCACCACCACCACCACACCACCACCACCACCACCACCACCACCACCACCACCACCACCACCACAAGTCACCACACCACCACAACCACCACCACCGCCATCACCACCACCACCACAACTCACCACCACCACCACCGTCGTCCTCGTCGACGCTTTTCGCCGCCGCCGCCCGCCGCCGCAGGCGCCAGCGCCGGCCCAGAAAAGGAAAGCGTCGCCCCCGCCGCCGCCGCCAGCCGCCGCCGACGCAGGCGCTGGCCCGAGGATGGGGAGAGAGGAGATTTAGGGGAGGAAGCGGGAGGGGGTCCGGTGTCAATCCCCCCGCCTCCAAGCGACCACAGAACGCGCTCTTTCCCATTTTCGAAGGCTCCTGGGGCGCTGCTGTTGCGTCTCCGCCTGTGTAACCTTATCCTGCCCATGCTCCATCATCTCGCTGCTGATGCCGAGATGATTGTTTTTCACCCCGATGTCTTCCTTTAGCCTCTCCTTCCCACTACAATGCCTCCTGGCCTTTTGCACCTCTGTTCTGCGAGTCGACCGCGCACACGTCGCGCAATGTAGATATCCGCCGTGCGCTGTCCCTTGCGCTGTTGTTGTCACACTATTGTCAGCACGCCTTTTGTCAGCACGCCTTATATCATCCCTTGGTGCCGATGGGTTGGGTACGTCGTAGGGTATTGTCGAAGAGCATGCAGCTCTCCGTTGCTCGTTTTGACCCAACGTTGGCATGGCAATTATAGACGCTTCGCGTAATCCCACCAGCCCATCACAAACGATGCTCGGGGAGTTGCCCTGACTAGGGAATCGGAGGAGCATACAAAGAATTAGAGAGTTGGAGGAGCCGTCATATCCCATGAGGGGGAGGATGGAGGAATGATCGGAGGGGGGGGAAAAGGAGGAGGAGGAGGAGGAGGAGCAGGAGGAGGAGGAATGACTGGCCAGTCGTACACTGGATAGTTCGTGGACAGGACTGCTCGTTTAAGCTGATGGAAACAAAGCGCTCGTTAACGCGTGGCCCCACGCCACAGGCGAAAATGGAACGTCAGCAGCTTTCACAATGCTTCCAACAATGCGACTACAATGCTTCAGCACTTCGGGCACTAACTCGTTGTACTGGCC